CGACCCCCGAAAAGACCATGGCCGCATCTTCCGAACGCAGCCAGAAATTCTAGTTTCGGGCTTGGCCAGAGCACGATTTGCTCCGGCCGAGGGTTCATAGCGCCGGAACCAAAAGACCTGTCGCATAGCTAGGACCTCGTCTTCTGCAGGGGCAAACAAAACGATACCACCAATGCCACCGCCACTACCACCAAGACCACCACCACCACCACCACCCCAAGCACCACCTCCACCGCCACCACACACCAACAGGCACGCCAGCCCCCGTGGCCACACTCATACTCACGACGACAGCTGCAACGACGACGGCCATGATGGTGAAACTCAACGAAACCCGACCCGACGACCGCGATAACGGCGAAGACGAGAAGATGTTGTCGATCCCCTGACGACACAGGAGACAGGAAAGCACGACGCACGCGGCTTGCCTGGGCCTGCAGAGCAGCCACCAGGTCCATGTGACCGGCTTCCGTGGCGCAGGCGGCCGGCGTGCGGCCCTGACCGCAGCGCACAGAGACTTGAGAATGGGCTGGCTTGGCAGAGCTTGTATATAATTGCTTGCTGGATTGGGGCGTCGCAAGGAACAATCTTTCATAGTTGAGGCTGTCCGGACAGCACCACAAATTTGTGTGAAGCCTGCCTTGCTGTCAAGGTCGTTCGGGTTGGCATTGAGACTAATCAGGTACATTGCGAGATCCTGGGAGCAATGTGCTAGCTTCCTGCAAGAGAAAACACATCTCCGTGGCCGGCTCTGATCTCCTTGTGGCCTTTGCTCGAAGCCCAGTGCAGCATGGTGTAGTCCTCCTGGCATGCCGAGTGCCGAGGCTGCAACTTTTTGTCAATAATAAGTGCGTATACTGGCATCTTGAGTCTCAGGTCTGCAGCGACTTTACACGACTTTCGCAGCAGAAGCCTTCCACTTCATGGAATGCCATCCCCTCGTCTCGACTTGCCGCAGGACCTGACAGAATGCCAAAGGTGGATGATCTCAGTCTCTCTGTGCAGCACATGTTGGCGACAAGGCCTTTTTCCCCCAATCTCATGCGACTCATCCACGCATGCGACATGTGCGTCAGCATGTCAATCACGATTTCACCCTGCTGAGCAGAGGTGCATGCTTGAATGACTGCACTCTGGGTCAAGGCATCTACCGTCAATCTGGCAACGTGCATATTTGTGAGACACTGCATTGCAGCGAGCCAATGGCCGGCAAGCGATTCGGCAGCTGCATTGTATGTGATGTCGTTCGGCCGAGTCCGTGAGCATGCCATGCTGCAAAGAAGCGACAACGAAGACAGCCACTGTGTTTCTTCGCAAGCATAGATTGCAGCGTTGAAGGTGATGGTGTCTGGCTGCAGAGTGAATTCTTGCAAGCGGCCAACCAAGCCCAGGCTGGATTGCCACTGAAGGCCTTTGCCAAACGCACTCAAGAGCCCGTTACAGAGTCTCAGGTGTGGCTGCAGGTTTTCTGCCATGGTGGACAGTAGAAGCTCCGTGGCCCAGGGCCATTGCTCTGACTTTTCACAGGCACTGACAACTGCTCCAAAGGTGATGTTGCTTCTTTTCGTGTACGTGAAGCACATCTCCGACAGAAGCTCCAGAGCTGCTGTCCAGTCCGCCGCCTTCTCGCAGGCGCTCAGCGCTGCGTTGAAGCTGATGGTGTCTGCTTGCAGACTCCAGGCCTTCGCTTTGGATTTCAGCAACCAAAAGGCGCTCCACCAGAGCCCCGTCTTCTCGCACGCGGACGTGGCAGCATTCAGGCTGACGAGGCTCGGCTGAAGCCGCGTACTACGCATCTTCGAGACCAGGCACAGAGCCAGATTCCAGTGCCCTGCTTCCCGACAAGCACTGATAACTGAGCTGGCTGAGATTGTGGTCTTCTCTGTCTCGGCCAATGCGCCCAAAGCCTGCGACCAAGCAGTCCCCTTCTGGCAAGCGCTGAGCACCACACCGAAGTGGAACTTGTTCACCTCCTTCCGAAAAGAACGCATAACTTCCACCATCTGTGTCGCCCACCACCAGTGTCCTCCTTGAGCAATGCGTTCTAGGACCTTGGTCCCATGCCGCGGATCGGCACTGAGGCCGCGAACCTCGCGGCGGATGTCCATGAATTTTCTGCAGCATGGACAAATCGGAAGGCACACTCAAAAAGCAGTCCCGGGGGGTTTTGATCTTAGCCACTCCGGCACGGCGGTACAACCGTTTGATGCAAGCACACGTCGAAGCCATCTTTCTGCGAGTCTGTTTGTTTGTGGCACACATACCTATTTAGCCGGGAAGTCTCACAGGGAACCTACCAAAGTTCAACATCACTCATTCAGGGCTTGCAAACTTTGCAAACAGTCTGCGCTGACACTCCACGTGCTTCTCTATGCGAAGGCGCCGCGCACGCACACAAAAATCAACAAGCAGACAAGACCAACAAATGGAGGCGGCTGCACCTGCTGGTATGCCGGAGGCAGGGAATCAACCTGCGGCCGCTCAGAAGCCGGCCTGTCCACCAGAAAGACGAGAAAATCCCAAGAAAATTCCCTTGCGAGAGAGACCAAGGGAAGTTGCAACATGATCACTTCGGATGACTTCGACAATCGCCACGAGGAATTAGTCACGGGACTATACAGTGGTATTGATTGATGCATGTGTATGGTCTGCTACTGTCGCATTAACATCTTGCAGATTGTTGACTCAACAGCTGCATCTTACTGTACCTATACCACACTACAGTGCTGTCCAACGTTTATTGGGATGCATTGAGACTTGACTTGTCTGCGTTGTTCCTGCAGGCCGGTATTGAGGTTCAGGCAGGGCCGGTATTCGATGGGGTAGCAATGCTCAGGTCGGTGCTAGCCGCACCTATCCTGGGACCAAGCTAAGCCCAGAAGCCAAGCCTGTGAAATCAAAATCGGAGCAGGTTCGACTAGAATCCTTGTGAAGATGTTTTTTGAAAAGCTTCTTGAAATCTGCCGGCAGACTATCTTAATCAGATGAAACCAAGAGATTCATGGCCAGTTTAGCGTCTTCGGATTGCCACTGCATTCTTGAAAGCCTGCTACTGGTAGTAGGATGTGCACTGAAGCGCAAGACTGTCTAGGAGGGATGGCTGGCTGCATGTACGAATTTCTGGCGCTCATGGGATCATCTTGGTCCTTGCGAGGCTCCAGGCCTGAAGGGATCTGCTTCGCCTTGCGACCAAGCAAAACTTCACAGATTGCTACCTTTTTTTTCGCGCTGCAAGCACCTGCGGTAGCTGTTCAGGACACTTCGAGCGTGGCTCCGCGACTCCCTGCTGCAACTTCGACTTGCGGCCTCCCACCCGGCGCAGGTGGTAGGCTAAGCCCGTACGTCCCGCGCGCTCTGCGTAGAAGAGCGGTGTGCGACCTGTTCCAAGACATCGCAACAGGGGAGAGGCTTTGTGCACATTGCCCGGTCAGCACCTTGGTCATCTCGGGATGACAAGAGGCTGTGGCCGTTGTCCTCGGCAGAAGAGCGGCCATGACCAGGGTCGGGAAGCACCGAAGGTATTATGGTAATCTTCATGAGCATGCACCTCGAACACTATCACCATCGTCATGAACAGGACCGTCATGATTAGCATGATCATGCTTGTCTCGCTGTAGATTCTGAAGATGATGGTGGTGATGATGATGACGACAATGACGATGACCAGCATTCCCTGCAAACTCTTACAGTATTGGTGCTGGAAGGATTAAAACAACAATTCTCCTGATTGTGGATTCTCGGGGGTCGGCTCGGGGGTCGGCACCTGGTGTAAATCACTCTCAGCCTGCGGCCACCAGTCGACGGAGGAATTCCACAAGGTCTCGACGACCGCGATGAGCTGCCCAATGCATCGGCGAGTAGCCGTGCTCGAACCTGAGCGAGCATCATGCAGCGGGCAGCGGGCACCAGGCCTGTGAGATCCGAAGGCGCCCACCGTTCTGGCATGTCGTCCTGTGCCATGGCTTGAAGGACCTGGCAAAGCTTCGAAGTTTCTCGACACTCATGCAGGAAGCTGGCAACGGCGTCATGGCGAAAGTGGCCATAGGATAGTATGTGCTTCAATGCCGGAGGTCCAGGAAGCATCGTGCGAGTCACATGTGGCCCCAGAGCTCTGGGGGTCCGTTTCAGAGGCCAGAAGCACCCGAGTCCTTCTAGAAAGGACATGACGAAGGCAGTTGCGACTTTTCTAAGAACGTCGCACATTAGGAAGTAAGAAGGGCCTCGATGAGCTGGTCGGGGACTGATGCAAGAGCTGATGTCGGCTTCAGTATCTCCAGCTCCTTGTAGACCCAGAGTCACATGCAAACACTGGCCGCTGAAAGCGTTTCGGACGTTCGACCACTCCTCTTCACAACGCTTCATGTCCCGCTGCAGGTACTCTTTGATCTGAGCCGATTGGCGAAACAAAACTGCCTCAAGCCTTGCAATGCTGCTCACGGCATTGCCTTCTGCTGGTCGGACTCTGACAGGCTGTGCTCCAACGCAACCTGCGGCCAGAGAGCGCAGCGCATGCTATCAAAGCTGTGAAGCTCTGAGTGATGACGACAAGGCCCGCCAAGGGAAGCGATCTTTCAACCTCCTGAGAATGCCGGTGGGAAGGGCCTGGCAAAGCCCCCGGGCATTATGCCCACCCGATGTTTTATCGGGACAAGGGGAGTGAACAGCGAGCGTAGATCATCATTTGCTACGGCTAAGGCCATAAAGTATACGATACCGAGACCATGATGATCGTACACTCTCAAGGACACATGCCTTTGTCCGCCGCCGGTTTACGATCCTCCAGTATTCCAGCAGAGCCAATGCACATACTTACACGGCCCATAAGACCAAAAATAGGAAAGGGGATATACTGAGGGCGTACTGACCCCCTGCTCAACGATATCTCTCTTGGCAAGGGTGCTTTGACGAGATTCAAACCTCGAAGAAGCAAGTGAATTGATGGGAATGGGACAACTGTCAGCAAGGACGACATCATGTAACAAAAGATCGTCAAGCAAGAGGTCAATTACGACGATCCCTGCCACATGCCCCAAGCTCCACTCTAGAGACTAAGCTACAACGGAAAGCTCCTCCTTGGCCCCTGTGTTACAAACCTGTCCCCCGACCTTTACCAGTCAGAGGGGTCAGGAAACTGTCATCACGGGAGCAAGAAAGGACGTTGGAGGGCATCAAAAGCATGCAGGACTTCGGGCCCAAGTGCAGAATTGCATGAGCATTGCCACTAGCTCCATACAGCAAAAACAGTATAACTTCCCCCGAAGAGCTGCAGCTACCAAGGCTTGATGAAATGTCCAGCTTAAACTTACCAGAAAGTGAGTTCAATCTCACACGCAAGTTCAGAGCCCTCTCTGGGCCCTGAACACAGCAGTACGTTGCGGGCGTCGTCAATTTAAGCCCTGAACCCCTCAGGCTTGTGCTTGCAATGCGAGTTCATGGGCTTAGAGTTTGCTCACGCTCACCCTGCCGGCATGCCCGTGCACCACCTAACTAGGGACTCTTTGACACGATACACCGTGTAATGAAAGGGGTGGCCCCGGGCAGCGTGGCAAGGGCCGTAGACCAAGACACCACTTGCCGTCATGTAGACAGGGCCTACAAAGACGGCACCATCATAATGCCCGCGACTGTTATGGTCCGTCCACATCCAGTCGGCCTTGGTGAGATGCACCTCTTCCGTGTATTCGGCCTTCACACACACCAGTCCATCGAATCGGCTGGGTGGTGGAGGGTTGTGAGGCCCTGCCCGCTTATCAGGCAGATCCTGCTCACCGACGCTCCCCACCGGGCGGTAGCCCTCTGCGCAACCCGGCGTGAACAAGCCGCCATCATGGTAACCACGGGTGTGGAGGTCATTCCAGTTAAAGGTCATGGTGACCGGGGCTTTAAAGGAATCCTCGTGTCCCGGCATGTGTTGCAAGAGCATGGCCGTCAGGTGCATGTCCGCGGCATGGCTGTCCTTGCAATAGTCACCTAGATAGTAGAGGCCCTCGCTCCCTCTCTTGACCCTCCACATGCCCAAGTTGGTTGCTGCACCGGTCCCCCTGTCCATGTAGGAGGGCTTGCCTTCGAAGCTGGAGGTCGTGAGAATCCTGAAAGGGCAAGATGCCATGCGGCCCAACAGGCCCAGGTCGCTCTTCAAGTTGGCCTCGTCGTAACACTTCCACGACCGCGGTGACCACTTCGGGACTTCCCCATCTTCCATGGCCTGCTGCAAGGCCCGAGTGATGTTGATCCAGCTCCAAATGGGTTGCAGCCACTGCTCGAAGACCATCTGCTGTGTGGCAAGAACCTTAGCCCGGTGACAGAACCAACTCCTCGCAGCCGCCCCACCAGGAGAGGTGGTCTCCCAAGGGGCACACTGCGCCTTACTGCGCTTTGTCGCCCAGAAACGGAATGGGTATTCCCTCGCCATCGTTACGGGAGTGTTTACAGGGAGATGCGGATGGAGGCTTTGGAGTACAAGTAGACTTGGATTTATCCATTGCTTCCTTGCTTGTACAGTCTGAGTCGAACTGCCCAGGGTAGTAGTATGGACAATCATATTTTTCCCTGACGACATAGCGGCCAAAATCAAGATCCCACTCCACATGATGCTTTCGATGCACCATGAGGCCTTGAAGGCTCGTCACTCGTCGCTGTGTAAGGTTGGCTGCACGCTTCAGCACCATCTTGGCGTGGCACAGGGAGTCTCTGGCCAGCTTCTGAATGGATGCAGCGTCGCGAAGTTGCTTTGCTTTGAGTGCGAGGCTCTCCACAGTCAGGTGCAAGTTCAAGAACTGCGGCAGGACCGGGGTCAGCAAAAATCTAAACCACTCGCCGTCCATGTCAAAGCGCAGCTCTTGCACTGGGTCCTTAAAGTCCGCCAGCCAGTTGCTTGTTGTGTTTTGCCCTGGCTCCCTGGTGTCAGTTGCAACACTGTTGTTGATGTCGTTCAGCTTCAAGTGCCACACTGCCAGCCTTGTCTTTGCCACTTCGTTCGTATAGTGCTGGAGTTCCTTGGCTACGTAGGAGGTGACATACTGCTCCACATACTTTGCAATCTGTCCGTATACGCACTTGCCCCAATCTGCTGTGGCATAGGTGCACGGATTCGTGGGAGAGCCGGACGTGCCCGACAATGCAAGGTTGAGGGTCGTAGACAAGATCACCCCTCCAATCCCGCCCTCAAATCCCGCCATACGAGTCATGATCTTTCCCGCCAGCTGCTCACCACCTGCGATCAATGCTTTTGTCGACCCTGCAAGGGCTTCGGCACCTGCCGGCCATGTCTCGAAGCTCGCCTGGCTATTGGGGCAGGATTCGTCGATGTACTGGCACCCGGTGTAGTTGCTGAGCTTGGCCAAGAGGGAACTGTCATTCCGGAGCCAATCAAGCTGGTAGCACAAGCTCGTGAGGTCTTGCAGCAACTTCCACACAATGGTGCTGTAGCCGCCCATGCTTCGGGCATCGAAGATCTGGTTCTCCCCATAGGTCTTCGGTGCAACGAAAAGGGCCGGTTGCGCCAGGAGAAAGGCATCGTCCGCCATGAAGCTGGCCATCTCACAGGCAGCCACGCGCGCCTGGCAAGCTGGGCTGTAGTCGCTACAGGACGCCGCAACGTGCAGCTCGCAGACTTCTGTGCAGCAGATGGCATACATTGGGTCCTTGCAATCGAGACCCTTTTTGCACGCCGCCCCAGACCCGAGTGGATCCTGCACCATTTTGCACAGTCTCCCACGCCCAAAAGCTTGAATCATCTCCTGCATGTCGAACGCATTTGCTGAGGCGACGGTTGGCCTTCTCCACCGACTCCAACGACTCCAGCCCGGCCACCTTGGCCACCTTGACCACATTGGCCAATGTCTCCACCTCCCTGCTTTCTGCCGTTCCCTAGCGGTCAGCTGCATGAGAGCGTTTATAGGAGTCTCCATCTGTGAACTGTTGGTGCCACTTGTGCACAACTTATGGGTGCTGTCCGTGGTCTCTGTTGCGGCATCCCCCTCCAAGCACGAGGACATGGATATCCATAGCAGGAAAAGGCCACACAGGTGGCGAAGGCTCAAGCAAGCTGTGCACACCCTTGGCATGGCTCCTGGCCGCAGTGCTGCGACCAAATCTGGTAGCCGAGAAGACTTGAGCCAAAATGGCTACAAGCAATCTCCGCACTCTCTCTTTCCTTCCCCAGGGTTACGGCAGAGGGGTCCACACTCTTTTCTTTCTCAAGGGTTGAGGGAGAGGGGATTGCGCCCCACACTCTCTGTCTCTCTCTCTCCAGAACCTGCTGGCCTCTTCCTGCAGGGCCCTCAAGTCATGGAGCCGTGCATCCAGTCTGAGAAGTTCAGTGTGGCGCCTGCACGTCTGGAATCTAATCCCGAAGACTCCCTTCAGCTCCACTCACCTCTGAGGTTCCGACTCAGATTCAATCTCCGTCCTTTTCTCGTAGTCGGTAAGCCCACGCCGAAGGGGCAGGCCCTGCGCAAGTTTCGGCATCCATCACTACATTTCTTGGCCCGCGACCCGACAGGAGCAACGAGTACGATGAGGCTCCTTGCTCTCGGCAATAGCAGCCCCCTCCAGCTGAGCGTTGATGGAACTGATGTGGACCTGCCATGGGCACCTCTTACTCCTGCATGATCCCTTCAGCATCAGCGCAGCAGCACGTTGACGACTAGCTCCCACCTCCGTGGCGCTCGAAATGTTGTCTTCCAGGTCCTTGTGCGCTTTGCGCACCTGTTGAAGAGGAAGAGAGAGAGAGAGAGAGAGAGAGAGAGAGAGAGAGAGAGCGAGACAAAGAGAGAGAGAGAGACAGAGAGAGACAGACAGAGACAGAGAGAGACAGAGACAGAGAGAGACCGAGAAAGAGAGCGATAGAGCGCCGGCATACTTCAGATGGTTGCCTGAAGGACAACGTCTACATTGGATCCAGGCAGCAGCTCCTCCTTCGCAAGCTTCAATCGCACCATTTCAGAGCAGAAAAAAAAGCCCTGCTTGTCTGTCTTCTGTCCAAGAATGCAGCTCAACAGCATCACTCTCCCATGAAAGACAACTCAGTCACTGTGCTGCCTAAGAACAGCCATCTGAGCATTGGAAAATGCAGGCGGCTGAGGAAAGCTGCTACACCCATCCTCCAAGCCGGCCAAGAAGTTCATGGGGCTTAGTTGTTCAGCAGATCCGCATTAGACATGAAACACTCTTCTCAGAGGGAAAAACAGGAGTTAGAGTCTTCACAAGGTCCAGGATCCCTCTGAGACAAGAGCTCTGCCCAGAGGGACATCCGATGCGCCCTGGGAAGACGGTGGTTGGATGTGCTGTGCTGCTTGCATTTCCATCTTCTCAGGTCAAACAGCTGTAGCACACGGTTGCTCAGTTGCGACTGGGTGCGCTGCCGCATTTCAGCATCACTTTTCGTTTTGGCTATGGATGCTGTGGCGGCCTTCAATTCCTGTCCGGAAAGGCACTGTGCGCTGCAATGCATTAATCACAAGCATCGTGGCGAAAAAGCCCGGCGTGGCTACGGTCTCTACAGCGAGACCAGTGGTGCCTTGTTGCACGACATCCCCTAGCGTTTGACGCAGGGCAGAGACAGCCTGGGGTTACAGGACTGGGCATAGTGATGCGGTAAATTCCAATTGAACCTCTGAGTTCTTTCCAGTGAAAACCAAAATGAAGGCAGGTACAGGGACCCTCCAACATCAGACGGACACTGGACCGCCGAAACTTTTTATCCGGTCAATACTGCACCCGATGCTTGAAAGCAAAGAGCGAGAACCGAGCCAAGCATGGACGAACGTTCAACAGGCACACCTGGTGTTGTCTGCTGAGCTCCTCGTATTTCCGCTGCCTGGGCATGCTCTTCGGAATACATTCGCCCATCCTCCTTCCTACGCATGCCTCTGTGCTCCCACCGGGCTTCCGACCAGTCGCTCGAAGTGTTCTGAATTTCCTGAGCACCAGCGGATATTTGCAATGTCGCGAAAAATTCACACGGCACAATTCTCGTACTGCCTCTGCTCGACTCGCGATCTGCAATCCTTCGCTTCGGACCTACATGGAGGGCGACGGCAGTCGATGCCCCATCAAGGCCAAGGGTGCAAGCAGCACGAGAACAGACTGAGGAAAAGGCACAGCAGCCCAGAAAGAGACAAGAACCATGCAGAAGGAAGCTTGGAAAAGCAAGCAAACACGAATTGAAAACCAGCGAGTTTAGCCGGTCTTGTAGAGCAAAGCTCTAAAGAAAGGCCTTAAGGCTTTGGCCGTGAGGAAGGAGCCTAGATTCTCTGGGCGCGACTTGGCAAAGTGCAAACCGGAATGCTGTACCGGGCGCCTGCTCAAGTGTTTGCTTCAACTCCTCGGCATCCTCTGCCAGGGGATTCGACCAACCCACCCCGTAATCCGACAATGCGCACTGCAAGGAGAGAGAACTGCATCCAATTGATTGTGCATGGTGCAAAGATCCTTCTTCTCAGCAGCCAGCTGCGACAGCAGCCTCTGCAAGACTCTACATGTCTCTGCCATGCTTCAAGAATCATTCGACAGGATTGCATTTGACCAACGACATGGACGATCTGACAAGGCATCATGGCCTAGGAGTTACCCGAAGATCAAGCATTTCTCAGAATCTTGCGATGACAACTTCTCTTCCTGCAGTCGCCGCTTATCTTCGGATTGCCGAGCCTGCCAGGTCGGTTCCGACTAGAGCAATGATTGTACAGGCCACCCGAAGCACATCAGTCCCTCGAACAGGTGCATAGTCATAGTCCAGAAGGACAGAAATCCGGCCGCCCTACATGTAATTGAGAAGATACCCGAAACATCCGATGTTACCATGAAAGGGCATTGAATGTCTTGGCATGAGCGCATGGGAAGGCATGCCCAAGCCTCCTGGTCCCGCTCTTCTAACTTCTTCTGCAGAAGCTTTACCTCCGCCTCCCTCGGCAAGCGCTCTGGTCGGATTTGGTTCGTCTGCAGAGCATCTAGAACGCCTCTACAGGCGGGATCAGCGAAAACGCACCGTCAGTGCATCCCGAACCTATAGGCCTTGAAAGACCAACCACTGCGCATGAAGCAAGAGTCTTCCAACTAGCTCTGTCAATTTTCTGCACGCAAGCAGCAAAAAATGCAACAGCGACAACAACACATGGCGGAGGCGCTGGTTGTTTAAGGCTTCCCGGAGGTCAGTTTCTGCTTTGCCCTTTTCTTCCTTCAACTTCCTGACTGGCAAAGCAGCTGGCAGTCGGTAGAGATGCGCTGAACAGCGGCTGCTTCATGCTGGGAAGACACAAGACATGCAATTATGAACTTTCAAGATCGAGCTAAAGCCAATTTCCAGCAGGTTGGCGCAGCCGCCGCCTAGCTGACACAGGCTGACAAGCAGCTTGAGCGTGGTGACATCTGCCGCCAAGGTATCCCGCTCCGCTTGAAGTGTGCGAAGCCTTCCAACTTCAACAGCTGCATTCTCTGCGACCACGCAACAAACCAATAATGATGTGCAGAGCTGCCGAGACACATCCCGGTGAAGTCATTGGCCGACAGCGCAGCCCCGCCTGCTGTTTGCCTCGTCTAGCGAGGCTCGGTCGCCTGCATTGCGCGCCTCGACAAAGGTCACCATTTCGTTCTTTGAGGCCACACGGCCAGCATGGTTTCGCACGAACTGTTACCTTCTCGCCTTCCCCCCATTCCCACCTGGAGGTGTCTAAAAGCTGCCTCGTCCATACGCAATCTGTGTTGTGTGTGTGTGTGCCTGTCCAAGTCCACACTTTAAAGTCCTGCCCCACCAGCACATCCGTCTGCAAGCATATCACATATTAACGGAAGGAAAACTTAAAGAGCATCAAACCCTTCGCAATAAAGTTCTTCAACACCTCCATGCAAACATATCACATAATAAAGGAAGCAAAACTTTGGGGCGCATCAGATCCTTCGAGAAAGAAGTTCTTCAACACCTCCCAGATTCATCGCGAACAAGCCTGAACGATCTCTTCAAAGCGTCCTAAGATCAAACGAGACGACGAGCAACATCTTCACTCCGTGACAGCGACGGGAGAGCGGCAATGCGTACCTTCTAACGGTAACCTAGATGTGCCCAGTGCGCTGTGCAGTGCAATTCCTCGTGCCTTGAGGCCATCCAGCTGGATCTTCGTTGACTCCTTGGCTGTGACTGCGAACTGTTCGGTCTGACCTTCAAGCTGCCCAGCATTGTCACTCGCCTTGACTCTACCTTTGTCTGCTGAGTGCATGACTGCGTCGCGAAGGGCGGTTTGGTGGTCGCCTGCTCTTTATCACGGCAAAGCAGCACGACAGAAGCCATAGGTCGGAGCTGCAAGCATGACATTCCCGTGAAGTCCGTAGCACTTCTGAAGCTGAGCCAACAACTGTGAACACGCTCTCGCCCTCGTCGCTCGTCATCCCGTTCCTGGCATCACCAATAAGCATACTTGGCTTCATGCCCATGTAAGATTCGCTTCCTGCTGCAGCTTTCGGTGCTCGGCACGGAGCTTCTCAAGCTCCTGCAACAAGTCCTGCACGAGGAAAGTGCCAAGCATCTACGTTGCTACGTTACCAGAAGCAGAACACTTCATGCCATGATGCACAGGATCGACTTACGGGTGCAAAGCTGTGAGCGATCTCGCGGCAAAGATTCAGGCAGACAAGCTCTTACATCAGATTGAGCCGACCTGGTGTCGTCCTTCCCATTCCGCCTTGAGCTGCAGGTGCGAGTCCTCCACAAAGCTCGTATTGACTGCTTACACACCCTTCCTCTTAACTTCAGACAGGCCAAAAACCTTCCTGGCAAGCGCTCGCAACTTGAGCTGGCCTTGGTATGCTTCAGTTCGGCCTCGTGGGCAGCTCTCAACTTTGAGTGGGCCTGAAGCCGCGGGCGCTATGCGCTTGGGAGAAGACTTCCTGGCACCGCTCGCCTTGCCTCTTCGTGGTCGCGCGAGACATTGCCATGGAGCGCTTCCAGCCTCCGAGTTTACCAACCCTGCACCAGAGCAGCGTCCTAAGGGGAGTATGAAGATACCTGACTGTTCAAAGATCACCCGCACCTGTCCCTGTCCTGCTGAACTTTCAGATGCTGTGCCTGCTGCAAAGAAAAGCCACCATGGAAAAGAACCGACCAGCGCTCCTTGCACCCGCCTGAATCTCTTCCTTGTCGCGCAGGACAGCCTCCGCAGACGCGGTGAAACTTAGAGGCCAAGTCCTCAACGCCTACTGCGGCAAGTTCGACAAGATTACAACTTGATTACAACGCCGGTCATTGTGGGCAAGACATTGATGCCTGATGCTTTGCTTCCAGGTCTGCTCTGGCGCGAGCTTCAGACTCCTCACTGCATCAGACGCTGAGAGCACGCCCGGCCGTGTTGACCTCGGTCCTTGTCCAAGCGCAGCTTGGCCTGGTCAGCCTTCACGAGGTCCAGCTGCTTCAAGGCGGCCTGATTGCTCGTGAACCCCAGGGCCTGGACTTTGATCGCACGTGCCAGCGGAGGGTTAGGACAGTTTCGGTAACCCCACTAGACTTCTCCCCAGACTTCCATGCCAGCATCCTCAAGCATTGGATTCCGTCTAAGCTGCCTCGTGTTTTCTTGCGTACTCCTCTTTGGCTGCAGTCTCCGCATCCTGAGGAGACAGAACGACGTGTGTGACAGCCTGGAGATACAAAGTGAAGTCAAGGCGAAGAGGCCTTGTCTCGCTGAAGGGAGTGCATGTCCGAAGACATCTTCTCTCGGTCTTGCAGAACTTCCACATGTTTCTTCTCCGCCTGCCACATTGACAGCACTGCACAGCCACTGGAAAACCTGTGATACTGCTGAGCACGGCCTCTTGCCGCGCCTGTCTCTCAGCAGCATGATCTGCCTCGAACATGTAATGTCACGTCATCATGGGTGTGCTGCACAGCCATCATTTCAACAGAAACGCCTCCAGTTTCTGCTTGTCTGCCGTCAGCTTCTGCATATCCTGCAGAACTGCAGCATGTCGCCGCTCGGCCTGGCTCACGGGTCATGCATTCAGAAGCTGTGCCTCGCCGAAAACCTACTTACTACTTCTATACATAAGTACTTCTTGTCCGCTGAAAAGACGCCATGCCAACAACCACCGAGAGAAAAAAGACCACAAAACCGGCAACACAATCCAACTCCAAGGCATAACGCAGCATGCTGAAGTCCGATGCCAACCATATGCAGACCGGCAAACATGCCTAGAATCCAAAACCAAGAAGTTCGCACGATTGGAACATGGATGTTTACAAGCATGCCGCTTGTACTGTGGATGACGTCTTTGCACGCTGACCAAGCAGCTCATGCTGTCACAGCGATGTATCCGTCCCCATGGGTAATGAGTCATGCATTCCACAGCAAACCAACGTAGCGGTGGATTTTGCCATACATCATCTCCGCGTGTGAAAAGGAAGCAAGTTTGCTGTTAAGTTCCTCTAGTGCCCTATGGTGGTGCTTTGGAAGGATGGCCTCAGCTTTGGCCTGGCTTTCGGCATCCTTATCGGACTGCAGACGCTGTTGATCTTCACCTGGCATGCTTTGCTACACAGCCAAGGGTGGATACAGAGTCCACCGTTCGTGACAAGATTGACAAGGAAAAGTATCAGCTGCAAGAACCGTGGCCCGATAGCCGAGCAGGTACATGGCCCTCAATCACATGTAGCAGCACTCATCATAATTGAAATCTGCCACAGAATGCGCAAGGAACCATCAAGCATGGCGGCAGAGCGTAACTTCTGCAAATCTCGTGCGAGCTCTTCGTGCTTTTGTTCAGCCTCGCAGTTTGCATCTGCACGGATGGTGTGTGCAGAGTTGGATTACGAGTATCCCACGAGGAAAACTGACCATTCCCGAGTGTTTCTACATGTGCGGGCCAGCTACAGGTCGTAAGTAGACCAGGAGCACACTGGTTGTCAGTACCCGGAAGCTGAGCCATCTCTGATCCAATGAACTATGCCCTCAAATTACAGTCTCCGAGCTTCTGAACCCGTGCAATCCGGAAGCGAAGCATTTGAAAAACATAGCGGCAGATCTCAATTAACTACGGCCTGCGCTCTTAGCTGAGCTTCGCGGGCCTGACCCATGAAAGCAAGCAGACGTGAGCTTCTGGGATATCTTCTACGCACCGAGGGTCTGCATTCTCACACCTTTGTCCGAACCGACAGACAGAATGTGGAAAACTGGACATGACGGCTCAGGCGGAAACTCACAAGCCACAGTTCGTTGAAGCGGCGAATTGAACCCTCCGAGAAGCCTATCAGAAACCTTGGGCTTTGTGTTGCGGGGCTCCACTTCGGGAGAGCTCCGGGTCTACCAGAGATAGCCAAAGATAGAGACTCGAGACCCAGAGATCCGAAGCTCCGGAGCCTGGTCTGCCTGCATCTTGGCCTGATCTTGAACCATCTTCCTTGCAGACTACAGCGTCTTGAAATTCATCTTCCACGACTACGACAGTGACTGCTCTCCTCCTCATTTTTTGCAGATATGTTCATAACGGGATCTACAGCGCTTCTGCTCTCGACTGTGCCCTTGCCAACGGACTTCTACCCCTTGGTCTCTGTACTTTTCCGATTTCTCTATTGTGTATGTTACCAAGTCAGCGACTGGACTGGAATTTGCACGTACACATAGCAACACACTGAACTTCTCCGCTGGAAGCTGCGAAACATCGTTCTGCTAGCATCAGCACAAGGAAGCATTCTCGCAAGGTCGTGCAATCCGCAAGTGACCTGAAATTCCACTCCATGCGCATCGCCGCTGGTCGTTCACCAGTGCCAGGAGCGCTACTAAAATAGAAATCCAGTTCAGGCAGATAGGCTTTGGTTTGTTTGTATTCGGCAGAGAGGCGACCATGTCTCTTCTCTCTTGCTTGCCCCCACCGAAGGGGATCCATCCGTTCGGCGTTCCGTGCAGTCGGCGTGAAACTTGCCACAGATTCGGCCCCCGCTGCACCTTTAACCCCACCTGAACGCCTATCCCCGCCTCGACTCCAGAACCCCTCTCGCTCTCGTGCTTTGTCCTCGAAACCGTGGGGTGGAGTGACCTCTCCAGACCTTTTCGTTAGACACCGCTCTCACAAACTCTCTCGTAAGATGTGCCGGGCTGGCTGCTTGTCGCCTTCCACCTCGGTTGTTTCCAAGGACTTTACAGGAACAGCACACGCACACGTAGTGACGCAGTGCACGTGACGCCGCTGGACCTAATAAGCCGCCGGCCGCTGCATGGCGCTGCTGCATCTCTTCCTTGGCTCGTCTCTCGGCCTCCAAGAGCTCCTGTCTCAAGCTGTGTGCATGCTGTCTGCATGCTGTCTGCCTCTGGGGTGTGCAGGGCTGTCAGCTCCTGCAAATGACCGTGTCCAGACGCCTTCTCTCGCAGCACCTCCTCAGGTAGCCAGGTACTCTCACGATGCCAGGGCACGGCGGCAAAATACGATCAAGCAGCAGTTCAACCGGCTCTTGCACTCAGCATAACCTTAGATTTCCGCCCCCTGCCTGATGGAGTCGCTGCACCTCGGAAGGGCAATTGCGGATGAGTTTGTGGATCTCCATTCCAAGACTTGCAATGCACCTTCAAAAAAAACACCATCAGCGATTCTAGTCTGCTGCACGGCTACACTCCTGGTCCTGCTGCATGGGAAAAACAAGCATGCAAGAGAAGTGAACCTCCAGTTTGGCTTTCTCTTCTGCATCCTTGTCGGATTTCAGCCTCAACTTCGGGTTCTGCGACATGTCTACGAAGTCACTACGTCTAAGTTCCCAAAGTGCAAGGCTTCCAGGTCCTGCCTCGAGTGGTCTTCCTGGAGCTTCTGCATGTCTTTGGCAACGGCCGCGTGCCTCATCTCTGCCTCTGCGCCTGAACATGCCAAAGGTCAGAGGCAGGATTGCAAATCTTGGGCTCGTCTGTGAGATCTCCTAAATTAGATAGAAGACCAGGACAGAAACAAGCTGCTGTTGCTCGACGCCCCAAAGGCAGGATCCTCAATCTCCCAAAGGCTTTCTTGCAGGGCTGGGGTTCGCAAAGTCAGGCCCAAGCTCTCTGGCCGCGGCTTTGTGTCCGCATTCGAGGTTTTCGGATCAGTACTGTAGCTCTTTGCCACTCACCTCCTTTCAGGAAGCCTTCGTCGAAAATTGTGGCTTGGTTTGAAACTGCGACACTTAGGACTTAGGAGAAATCGCTCGATGGCATCTTTAGCAAAGTCGCTAAGTTGTAACATGCCGTATTCGGCTGACGATCGTCACGTTCATATGGAGTAGAAGCCCCAAGCCCGTTCACTGAGCACCCTGCGCAGACGAGCTTCCTCTTCCTTCTCTTGGGTGACGCGCTGGTGGTCTGCACCTCAGAACACAAACCAAACAGGGCTTTGATGCGAGTACACGTTGTGACACCAAGGTCCTGACGAACCTGCTCCATATCCTTTAGGACAGACTGGTGCCTGCGCTCTGCCTGCCGAACTTCTCGGGCCAAATCGAACCTGACCCCCTGAGGCTAGTTGGAACGACGCCACTGGGATTGTGTGTATTTGTAATGAGTCGTCCTGCCTGCAGTAATTAGAAACACTGCGGACATCTGCCTGTGTTGCATGGATAGGTCTAGAAAGCTTAGCCGCTCCGGATCCTAAGCTTACCACAAGATGGAATATATTTGAGTCACTTGGGTCCCCCCTGCAGCTCCGAGCCTCCGTGCGTGCTTGTTGCTCAGCCAGCTTGTCCTGGCATTTGGAAACACGGCATCCGGGTGGTTGGGCGGAACGTATCCGAGCTCTTCTCATCGAAATGCAACGAGAGCCAGCACGGCTGCTTGCAACTTTTCTTGGTCGGCCTTCAAGCGCTGTGCGTCCTGCGCAAGCAACCAAGACGAGGCAGGAAGTCCACGGCTCGACGAGTCACTCCGCCTCAAGGGCTGCAGCGTGCTTCTGCTCTGCAAGCAATCTGGCTTGCTTCTCGGCAGCTTGGTCCTGACACCAGGTTGCATCCGAGCTACAGGCAACGCAGCTAGATTAAGCTAACTAGTTAGGACAGCTAGGAGGCAATGGACATCTTGTGCAGCTCCTTCTCCAACTCCAGCTTGTCTCCCTTGATCCTTTCCATGTCCGCCAACACGGCGTTGTGCTTCGCCGCGACATCCTCCTGCCAGGGCAGCCGTTTCCCGGCAAACCTGCGATGCCAGCAGCCAGGACATGACCCTGCCTTGGCACGCTCTTCCGCTGCATGAGCGGCCTACGGGAGCAGTGGCTCTTGAGCGGACCTCTGAGATCCAGTCCCGGCGCAGCCCGCGAACCGGAGCCATATCTGAACTGCTCTGCACCCAAATTGCGCTAGCTGCCCCTTTTGATCCCATATGAATGCAGCAAATGCGCCTGCAGTCGCTGCTGATCTTCTCTTAGCATGGCGGCATCTTTGACTGCCTAGCAGCATAGAGCATTCGGAGCTGAGGAGCTGTTCATGATCAAATACACAGGCACATCCAACTGTGTTTTACGAACGCACGCGGCGCTGAGCCCAGTCTGACATCGGCTCGAAGCATCATCTTTGGCAGTCGTCGGAGAGCAGTGCCCATGTGAAGCCGCTCGTGCGGAAAAAGAAGAACACGGCCGCGACGCGCAGGGACACGTGCTAGCGCCTCAGGGGTGTCCGAAACCTCAGAGGCTTCTTCAAGCAGCCAGGTCTCACCACCGTCGTGACAATCAGTTAGGTATAGAAGCAACGTGTGGGTTGTGCTGAGCCCAGCCGGTGAGTAGCCAGGCAACGCCGCAGATATATATCCGGGTAACCACTGATAATCAACATGGGGAACCAGGGGAACATTGGGGCTTTTGTATCGCAAGAACCTAAGCCATGGAGAAACGTGCACATCACCAAATCCTGCAGATCGCAGGAGAGATGTGAGGGCCTCCTGAATACAGCCGATCGCATCACAAAAGAAGAGGCGCTCTGCGGCTCGCCGGCCCATCTCTGTCTCTGGTACAGGGAGACTGTGCCCCAAATTGTCCAGCATGTGTAGAAAGTCATCCGGGAAGCTTTCAAGAAATAGCCAGCTCCCTACCATGTCAGGCTCAGGGAGAAGAAACTGTGGCGCCGCTTTGGAATGAGCCGATGCCTTGAAATAATCTGCAACGCTTGCTTCAGCATCATCGGGATTTGCTGTAAAATGGTGACACAGCATTTCCACAACTCCGTGATGATTCATTGCTTCTGCCACTTTCTTTGGTGTGACGCCTCCACCTGCAGGAAAAGCTTCAGCACCATGGGAGATCAGTGCAGCGACCGCGCTCTCATGACCGTACCACGAAGATAAGAACAAGGCAGTCTGCCCGAACAGGTTCCTTCCGTTAACGTCGACACCGGCCTGTAGGAGGGCCTGTAGCCACTCCTCGTCACCAAGAGCAGCCGCGTTCTCAAAAAGCAACATGCGCCTTGCTTGCGACGCCCCCAAAGGCCGCGATGTCTGCGGCTCGTCGCCGGTCTTTTTGGACCATCGTTTCGGCAGCAACCGGAACTTCCGCAAGCTATCTTCCCGCAGCTCAGCCTTCTCAGCCTTCATGCAAGCTCGGCGGATCCGACGTCGCTGCATTCTGCACCGAAGCACGGAGGTACTGAGACAGCCGTCGGACACAGCCTGGAAGACCGCCGGTCTCGGTCTTCGCAGTTCAGGCTGCATACCGAAAAGAGTGGCCGCAGGTGATAGGAGCCGATGCAAGGCCTGCCTTCCATGGGCTGAGGTGTCAAGAAAAGGGACATGCATTATCTCATACCACATGCACTAGTGCTGGCGCACAAGAGCAGCATCAATACTGAGCACGTGTCATGGGTATTGTGGCTTGAAGTAGAGTCTCCTGCTCGCCCATAGCTCTACCAAGAAGAAGAAGAAGGAAAGCGAGACCAACACGAGAACAAGTCACTCCCACCCCACGCCCTGAAGCGATCTTCATTGGCTTAGATTTCCCACGCTGAGGGGCCCCTCAGCCCTCTGGCTGTTGCAGAGAAGACCAAGGCCCGTGCTGCAGCATGCCTCTGTTCCACCTCCACTCGCGCCCGCTGCTCTGAGTCACGGTCGGCCTGAAGCCTGGAAACGGTCGCAACCAAGTCACGGCGCCTTCTGATCCCCACGCAAACCTGGCCCCGGGGCCTCAGGCGTTCTGCTCTCAAGTCTTCCAGCTCCTTGAGCAGCGTCGGGTGCGGTTCGGCCGCCCTGGCTTGTGCCTGCCTCTCCAGATCCTGCAGGGCACAGGGACGAAACGTGCGAAGTGCTCAGAGCACCGTGGAAAGGCCAAGGCCTTCAGGTTGCGGCCATGCGTTGCCTCAAGGGAGGCCCTCCTCGAGATTTTCGCCGATGCGACAACAGAAGAGCCGATCGACTGACTGAGCTGCTTGAGCTGCTGGCATCTGCTCCGATTCCCTGTTGGCGGCCTGGTGGCACCAAGGCAGTGAAAGACGGGTGCCACGCACTCAACACAATCTGAGCGCTTCCTCCCGCCACTGCTCGCGGTGATGCTGCAGCACCGACTCAATGTCTCGCGACTTTTCATCCTTCCATTCGATAGGGGCCACAGGCATCGATGTCTCGGATTACACCCTCCTGACTCCTGACATTTGGGCTCCTATATACAGTACGTCCTACGTTTGCTTTCGGTCTGGAGGTTGAGTTCACTCCAACACGTCCGCAGGGAGCACTGGGTCCTCGAACTGGCTAATGCGACCCATCATGGCCTTGCGCTCTTCCTTGCAGGCCGAGCGCACAGTCAACATGCGCAGTCTTCAATAATGAGCGGTGCTTCTTTCTTGCAGCGTGCCTCGGACTTCGCTTGGACTTCGAGGAAAGCCGCTCGTTCCAGCTCCAGCTCACGAACCTCCGCCAAGAGAGAAGAGTTTTTCGATAATATCTGTGAGCTACTGTTTGGTCGCGAATCCCAACGAAATCTTGCACGACCCAAGCCTTCTGCTGTAAAGCGCGGCAGTCTGCAAGCACCGCGCGAGAGTTCTCCTGCCAACAAACAAACTTCGAGCTTCGCTGGAACACTCCTATTATAGTTATAGTATAACCCATGCTCGAGCCGTGATTGAAGCCAAAGCAGACGCACCTCCAGTTGGCGGAGATCAGCACCTGCCCATTGTGGTCACAAGCCCGTTTCCCTCCCTTCCGACTCCAACAAAGTGCACCTGCCGCAGCTTGCGCTTCTTGCGCTGCGCGGAACTGCTGGCGCTCACGCTCTAAGGTTACCTGTCCGTGGTTGCGATCGGAGACAGCGAGCGAAGCACAAGCAGAATGTCTGTCGGTTCTGCAAGCGTAACATGCATCATGTAATACAAGCCTTTACAGAAGATCAACGTGGTCCACTAACTTTCATCCCATGGCCTCTGCCTCACGTAGGCGATCCTGGCAAGTCGTCTCCGTCACTTCCAGTTCAGTCAACCGTGCAGCCCTGGTGACCCATGATGATCGATGCCTGCAGCACTTGGACCTGGAAGCCAGCTTCTTTGGCGCGCTGGTTAGCTGCCTCCACGGGAACTGCTGCTTCCCGCTTTGACCGCATGCCGGACGGCCGGTCGCACGGCACTCAATAATCGATCAACCCGGGTCAAACCTACAGTCATGCAAACACCTCGTGGAAAGCATCCTGTATGAAAGTGCACGATGGCCTCTTCGGCAACTATAGCACGCTGCCGACCCTCCTGGCGCCAAACAGCTTTGTTGCTCGGGTCCTGAAATTAGGCTCACCGGCGCAGAGGTGGCCTGGACCGAGTCTGCAAGCGCCCGCACCTGTGCTACAACGACTTGCAACAACTATGACGGATAACAGCAAAACCGTGGCACGCTATGTTGTGAATGCCTCTCACGAAGCATTCGGAGCCTCTTCTAACCGACGCTCGCACTCCATCTCCAGGTTGGAGCGCACCTTCCGTGCCGGCACATAAATGCAGCATTTAGATTGAGCGTCACCTGCAGGTCAAGAAAAGCAACGGCTCCAAGGCCTTCAGGAGCTCCAGCCGTTCAGACTCAACCTGCAGAGACGCAGAGGATGACTAGAGAAACGCCGCAACTCATGCACGACAACATCTTGCAGCATCTTTGGCCACATTCAGGGGATGCAAAGCGGGAAAAGGCCGCGGTGGAAGCAGCCGAGGCCTGCTTCTTGAGCTCTTCGTGTTCGGCCTCCAGACGATACATGAGGGCACATGCCAAATGGTGCATGTGAAGCCTGCGAAGTTGTGCAAGCTGCAAGAAGCATGCAGGGATAGCACCATTTTGGCAAAGCTCACTGACCCCAAGCAGCTCAACAAGCTTTCGTGGGCTCAGAGTTCTTTGAACTTTGAAGTCTCTGAGTCCTATAGCTCCTATAGCTCCGCTCCATTCCCCCAGCACTGCTTGGCAAGCCAGGCGAAGGACAAGACGATATGCGGCAAGCTGCCCTACAGCCTCGATGGGATCCATGTGCGCTCGTTCTGCTGGTGGGCTGCGAGGCGTCGAAGGCCGGTGAGAATGGACTTCGTGAAGAGAAAACGGGCTACGACGTGGGAAGAGGCATGGCCGCCAGCAACCCAGCGCAACTGAGCCCTGGAGTCGAGGTCACGCAGCAGGCGGAAGTTCACCTGGCTCGATCCTTTGTCCACGAATGTATCATAGAAAGCGCTGACCTGCAGCACGACCTTTCGACCGACGGGCCCAGGGATCACCATTTCGTTCAGCTCCCTGGTACTCATGGCACACAGCAAGCCACGCAGGAGGCTCTCGGATTCCTGTGCATCGAGGCCATGGCTCTCCTCTGCCAAACGGTCCAAAGCCACCTCACCACGCAAGGCCCCACTGATCAAGACCTCGGGGTCGGCGGAGGGAAGGCAGGGCACCACCGCCAAATCATGCTTCTTCCCCAAGAACCCAAGGCACGAGGCCATTGCCCCGCCCCAGGAGATGCCCGTGCTTCCCAAGCAGGCATTCGGGAACTTTTCACGAAGCCAGTCCAGAATCTGCATGGCTTCCAGGAGAAGGCCCGCGCTCTGATGGGAGAACTCTGCGACGGTGCTTATGTAGTGCAGCGTCTGATGCTTTGGGCGACGCGCGCCGTAGAATGGTGGCGTTATCAGCACCGAGGCGACTCCCTCTCGCAAGAGCGGCAGGCCGAGCATCACCTTACGGAAGAAGTAGGACTGGTCTGCAGTGCCTGGAAACTGTACCACACATGCCCAGGGTTCTCGATCCTTCGGCAGGAGGAGCTCAAAGTCACAAAGTCTGCACTCCTCCGGCAGATAGGATGCCAGGGGGCTCGGAAACTCTCCACGGCAGCGAAAACCCGAGCCCCCGAAAAGAGGAGACTCTGGTCCCAAGGACACGGAGGGTGCCGCAACTCCGTGTGAATATTCTAGCACAAAGTCGTCCATAAAAGCGCGGGCATCCTGAAGTTGCTGAAGGTCCCCCCAACCGCTGGCAAAGAACCGGTGGCTGGCCAAAGGCTTTAGGTGAGCTGCAAAGCCAAGCGCCTGGTCCAACAGCCCACAAGCCCTCCCAGCGGCAGCCAATGGCAAGTTGAAGGAAGGCTCCTCAGCTTCGGCCGCCTCGATCATCGGAGCGGTCCCTTCGACCCCTCTATGTCGGCTTCAGCTTTGATTCATGTTCATGTGGTCTACACGCCCTCGAGCCGAAAGCAAAGCCGGCCCCAATCTCCTCCTGCGCCTCATTGCCGCTTCTTGTCCTACAGAGTCTTCTAATTCTGGCTCCGTGTTTTGCACGCGTTTACCTAGTTCAAACAACATCAGGCTGATCGAGGATCCCAGTGTTGCGAAACCTGCTTCCTGTCTTTGATGCACATTCAACAGGACTTGAAGGAAAGCGCAGACGTGCCCTGCTGACAGTTTCCATTGTTGCTGCTTCCCCCTGTCTGAACAGGGGTGTCTCAGTCTGTCGATGTGCCAGTGCCCCCGCGCAGACTGCCCCCATCCGGTCCGTGGCCGTCTTAAGCACCGGGAACGTCTCCCCGTCTGCTTCGAACATGTGCGGGCATGCCTCGAGGATCGAGAGCCGCCGGGCGGGGCTGTTCCCGGCCTGGACACGGAAGCGGAAGCTTCTTCGGATGTAAATGTGAGTCCTCGTCAAACGATGCATAAGATCGGCCGTTCACGGAGCAGAAGAAAACCCCTTCTGTACGCATCGAACCATACTGCTTGCGAGAAGATGCTAGGAAGGCATCAACTAGCCCCATTCTGCCCAGCGCTTTGTTGACAACAGCAGCTCTGTTGAGAAGGTACGGAAGTAGGGTCATAGCTGTGATACATGCACGTTCGGTGAACTGCTGGCACTGCGATGCACGGTCCAAGTGCTGACAGCCTCATCGAAATCCTCCGGCGGCGCAGCATAGAGCCCTGTAACAATGCAGCAGGGAATGCGAAGACTTAACGGCTCAGGCCAGCTTGCACAGCTTTTGAGCGGCCTTCGTCACGAATTAGGCGGCGGCCTCGGAGTCAGCGAAGGTCACAGAATGCAGTGCAGAAACGAGTCAGACTCGCTGCAAGCGCTGGACGACCATGCTCCCGGGAATTTCCCAAACCAACCACCGTCGATTCAACAGACAGGAAATTACTGAAATCGTGCCTGATAGCTGGCCGCGCTCACCATCTGCAACTAGGCGCCGCAGATCGGACAGATGGGTCTGCCTTCAAGGTGCACACACAGTGTGCAAGGAGGTTCCATAGCCCGATCTTTGCTCTAGAGGCAAACGGCGCTAGGATTCGACTGATGAGCAGCATCTACCTCCAAGAAACAAACCTCAAAATCGTGACAGACCGATTTAGTCTCGTCCTACTTGCTCGCGAGATGTTTTCTTTCGAAACTTGTCAAATATCTCGGAAATTGTATAAGCCTTGGCAGCCCTGTGCCTCAGCTCGCAAGCCTCGCGGCGCTGCTCGATAGCCCGGATCTGTTTGTCAATCCAGTCAAGTGTACCTTGGCATGTGCAAAGACCGACAATGCCGTACGCCGTAAACTGTTCTGACCTGTTTGGCATGACCGAGGGGTTGCTGCAAGACATCCCGGCAACCTCGTGTTTCGACACTGACGCCGAAAAATCCCACTAAAGATCCGGCTCTCGTTGTCGCCAGTCCCATCGGCGTCTTCCGTGGTCCCTCGAGTTGGAAGATGCAAATCACATCAAGATTTGGCAGAACACAACCATGCCCGGGATGTGAATAAGCGGCAAAGCTTCACTGTAAGGATCAGTGCAACTGTGCCAACATTGCAAGACAACGCCTTTGAATGCATGACTGAACTTTCAACCAGGGCCTCTGCCACCCAACTCCGCCTCAGCGCAGGTCGACACAACCGTGGTGGAATGAAGCAGCAAGCATCATTGGGGAGCGGGGGAAAGGCTCGACCATCCTAGCAGGTCATAGCGGCTAGTGTCTCTGTAGTGAGGGCTCAAGCTCGACTGCTGCCGACGCAATGCTGGAGGCAGCGGCAGCGGTTTTGAGCTCGTTCAGCGGAGACTTGACGCACCTCGGCAGCAATTTGTCTGGGATTCTGAAAAAAGTCTGCAGATGGGCGAGGGCTGCAGAAGCGACAGTTGCAGGCTTGGCTGGAGTGGTCCGAATTCAAGGGTGCTACGAAACTTCGCTTGAGTCCTCCTGCGAACACTCGCCGAACTCCAATTGAATGACTTTGGGATATGCCCTGGATACCTCCCTCCTCGAAACGAAAACCATTCGCTATGCTCTCGGGAATCAAAAAGATCCAAGAAGATCCAAGTCAGCTTCTCCCAGATTCAACCATGCAAGATCCGTGAGCCAGACTTAGAACTTGTCCAGCCTGCCGGGCTTGAAAGGGACGTGGTCTTAACATCCTTGCGTGCCTGCTTCATGAACCAATAGGAACGACTCAAGGCTCTCACGTAAAAACATGTGTCGCCCTGCCCTGGCCATATGCCGCACTGTGGGCACATGTTCAACCCTAAACGGCATCGTGAACAGCAGTCAGCCTGCATGGTGTCAGTTGGTTGAGTCTTGCGACTTCTCTTTGCAGCCATGCAAAAACATAGCTGGAATCTCAAGATTACGATTCCGTTTTTCAAGACTCTTTCGAACAGCTGTGTGTGTGTGGTCTGACTGTTGCACCTGTTGCAGAACCACAGTTTTGCGGTTTGGGCCTGGGTCTCCAAAGACTTGGCTTGCTTTGAGATCCCCGCGCTGCAAGATCGTCTGAGAGCTCCCGTTCCATCTCGGTCACCTGGACTCGGCAACCGCCAGAGTGTTGGCATGCACACAGCCCGTGAATGGATTCAGAGCAAGCAGAACATTACGACACATCAAGTGCAAGCAGCACCTCTCGAACTGCATGCACCTGTCTATTGTAAGCTGCCGACGACCCCATCAATGCGCTTGATGAGATCCTCAAGAGGTCAGCGGAGAGCGGACTCTTCTTTTCGAGCTCAAGCTCAGGCAAATTACCACTCCTCGGAAAAATTCTGTGGCGGCTCTGGCTCAGACCTCGACGAGCGACACACATGACAAACGCTCTGTGAAGTCCCGAGAATCCCTGCGTCAGGCTCTCTAGCAGCGAGAGCCTTCGACCCGATCCGAAGACGGACCGAAACGAAAACTTTCCAGATTCTAGACAACCGTGCTCTCATCCAAACCACAGCCTGGAACCACCCCTGCCAATGCTGCTGAGTTCTTGAAGCATTCATCTCCGTGCAGAACTTCGTGGTGGCGGAGGACTGGGCCAGCAATGTTTACTGGGACGCCTGCGGAGGTGGCATCACCTGAATATTGGGGACCTCAGCATCCATCGCAGATGGCTCCTCTCGCAGAAAGCCGAAGACTCTCCTGCCGCGAACACAAGAAGGCGCCGGGCAGACATCGTCGGCCTGGGCTTGAGAGGACGGTCACTTGCGAAGGTCATTTGCCGAGTGGCTGGCAAGCCGGCCAGTTATAAGCGACTTACTGCTCATCGCATGCTGACCTATCCAACCTTCAATACTTCAGCCGGTCATGGCCTCGACATGCACGCGATAGAACAGCACCCAGCTGGGTCAAGAATCCCTTTCCATAGCACATGTTGGCACCTTCCTGCTAAACGATGCTTTCCCAAGCACTTATTGGTTGGTTTGCCATTCCCGTGCGAAAAGTTAGCGATTGGCAGGTTCACCACATGTTGCAGATTGCCCGGTCGGGCGATCATCACGGACACATTGACATGCGCTGTCGTGACATCATAAGTTGAGGTCGGTGCTGAGCCAACTGGGCCTCATGACTTGATTCCACTCACGGAAAACAGAAGTGGGCATGAAGAGATGCAGGGGCGCTCGTGTTCATCGCAGGCAAAGTGCAACAGGACAGCTCTCCATGCTTTCACCGCTCTGAGGTCAGAGCCGACACGGTCTGGACTGGCGCTACTGGCATGGCCTGCACAGCCGACATATGTCCACAGCTTGCCTTGAAAAGGCTAAAGTGCTTGGAAAGGACATCCCATGTCAATATCGGCCTGCACCAGGTGTGGAGAGCTGCCAACAATAATCTGACCTTGGTTGAGCTAGCTCCGAACAGCTGAAGCAGAACATCCTGATAAATCAGAACTGATTTCCAGATCCGCGAGCATGCATTTGCATGAGTCCAGACTGCATGGCTTGCGTGCTTTTGGCCGAGCCGGAGCCTGACCCGGGACACATCAGAAGGTACAAAGATCCCAGCCGGCTGGGTTCCTCATCGGCTCTGACGACCTCAGCCATCACAGCGACAAGTCAGACCTAAAGCTCCCCAGCACACTCCGCAAACATGGGCTGGGCATCTGGCACTCCGCGATTCAATGGCTGCGCATATGCAAACCTCATTCGTAGAAGCACTAGGGACTTCAGAATGCTCGTCCTGATGGTCCCGAGGAACAGGCGCAGGGACAGCACGATGCTGCATTGGCGAAACAGACCTGCGCCAGTGCGAAGTTCGACTTTTCAAGAGTGGTGTTCACATGTTTCTGTTGTTCGTTGAACAATTTCGAAGGCCGAACATTTGCTGTGCGTCTATCCCGACTGCGCCCATCTGCTACCTCACGGGCGCACTGCCAACTGGATAGATGAGGCCTCGGCTGACAGACGCTGAGACAAACATCGGTCGAAGTTCGAGCTCGGGGCCGCTGTTCGCCGCTTGTTGGAACTCTGCACGGGTGATGACACCATCCTGGTTCGTGTCCACCGCTTCGAAGCTCGCCGCAACAAAGGGTGAGGGGCTTGTCGAAGCTGCTGATGTCTGACCTGCAGGATACGTTTTGCTCCGGAATGCCCGTACTTAGCTTTGATGTGAGATCGACCTTGAACGACTTCGACTGTGAGAGACACCTTGCAAGCGGAGGCGCGCCTGGCTGCGAGGATGGGACGCCCGTCACTGGCTCCAAAAGCTGGCCACCTGGAGCAACCGCACAGCTGTTTGGACAACTTGGCTCGTCGATAAGATGCATGCCGCACACGAGGAGAACAGGCTGAAGTGAGTTAACCGCAGCTAGCAGCCAGAAACTACCCTTGACATGCTTCCACTGCCGCTTTGAAAAGCACCATCCCGCGCCTGGCAAAGCCACGGGAGACAAAGTCCGGGGAAGCTGAGTGACACCAGCCTTTCCATGCAACGGGAGGACCAAAACCCCCAAACCCTAACCCTAAACCATTAAGCAAGATTTACCCACCGAAGTGCTGCTGCCCATGTGGCATCCAGGCCTGTATCCGACCAGAGTCCACTGCCCCTCAGCGGCATCTGTCAAGACATCTGTAGGGAATCCACACAACACTTTGTGATGTTTAACTTGCCTTGTAGAATGTCAAACCGAAACGCAACCACAAAGGAAGTGATCTCAATCTCGAAGTGGCACAAATCAAAAGGGCGAGTCGAAAAATCAACAAGCTGAAGTGTGTGGTGGCTCCTCGTTTGCGTAGTTTCTGGAGTTGCTGCCTGTCTAGGCACTTGCTGGGTCAAAACTCCTTTTGGTAATTTCCTTACTTGCACAGAAGATGTTTTGCTGCGGCCCCTACGCACGTGTTGGCGCGCGTGTGTTGCGTTGGCGCTTGCATCGGCGTCGGCTCTAGGACTCAAAGGTGTGTGGCAAGGGCATACATTACGTGAGGACAAAAGATGCTACGACCCGAGGCGCAAGTCGACTCAATTATCACTGCTTCTGCTTCTTCTTCGACCCTGAAGATCCCTGAACCTCATTTCGACCTTTGCCGGGGGTCTGCCGAGAGTAGAACACTCAACATCTAAAGAAACCTGAGATCCAGGCAAGCACGGCCCTGCACTGCAGAAGGGGGGACCTGGCCACAGAACGCGGCTGCTCGAGGTGCGCGAGCCGCGCTCTGGCAAAAGCAAACTGAGTACCCTAACAACACCATCGCTTCAGCCTATGGCCATGCTGTGACAAGCACCTGTGCCGAAGAAACGAAGCTGTCTGGGCTCACGAACCTGTGACTGCTGCTGAGGTGAGATCCCTCCTCGCGAAGCGCTGGCAAGCTGCATAGAGCACTAAAATAGGAGGCCGGATGTCCTGGACGGAAGGCTACATTCGCCTCAGGCTGGTTTGGCATCCACGCCACGGCGGCCATGGCGCCCCAACGTCAGTAGCAAAGAAATCAAGCAAACTTAAAACACTAGCGAGTGGGCATTCATTCTGTTGCGATTGTGACTTGCTGCTGCATGCCTGGCCGGCTATGTGCCTCAGTGTGTGAGTTTGCCACACAAGCATGCTTCTCATGTCACAAGACCGGGCTTGACTGCTCCTGCTCATTGCGTGGCTCACTAAGTCCCGCTTCGGGCAACTCTCAAGAAGCACCAGTGCCGCACATCTTGCAGAGGGAAGAGCCCGATCCTACACTCTAACCTCACAAGTGTTTTCCTGCGACGTCGAGCATCGCAGGGCTTTGGCCGTGCCTGAGATCCAGGCAAACTAAATGCTAGATATGAACGCTTCTTGCAACATATGACACCCACACACAGTAACTAATGCAGTAGTCGAAGGAAGCATTCCTCCCTGAGCCCTTGCTCAGCTCCATCACACGACCAAGGATCCGACTGGAGGCTTGTCATCAAATCAATGAGGTGCAAAGCTTCATGGATATCTGCCTGTGCAAGGCAGCGAACAAACAACTCGTGCCACCTGGATTTTCCATTCCGGATTCAGACTGCTGCATTGAGTCTTGGCGATAGTTTTACAACGTCCCAGCGGTTCCAGATGCCAACTCACCATCCATCATGTGAGAAAACCAAGCGTCATGTTGGGACCCTCCCGGCCTTCACTTTGGCAACCTGCTTGCTTTTCAACTCCAAGCCGTTGCGAAGATGTGTCTCCTTCGCTAGGACGATAGCTTCGGCTACGTATCGAAAGACACATGGCGGAACAAGAAAGACGACCCCGAACTTCTGACTGTACACCACAGAGCTGGCCGTGCTTTCCACTTCCATCGTGGAGTGTGAAGCTTGACCTCAACCCATCCTTGTCTTCTAAGAATGCTTCTGCATCGGCCAGTGGCATCTCAAGCCGAAAGTTAAGACCTGGGCCAGCAGCTCTCTGCAACTCGTGGAAAAAAAGGGGGCTCTGTGCATCGCACCTACATCCACCAAGATGCAGCTGGTGTCCGGAATCAATGCCTTCACGAAGAACCTGATGCACTCTTGAGTCAGGTCGACATCTTCGACATCAGAATGTGGTCTGAAGTCCCAGCTGACAGCCCAGCTCGACAGTGGTCTCTAGCTCGGACACGTCCTCCTGTGCATTTTAAACCGAATGTTCAAGGTCTACACAAAGGCACACGTCCTTGATGAGCATTGAGATATTCCGTCGCAAGTCTTTGCACCTCGGCAGGAAGTCGTCTGCGGTTGCTACTCGACGCTGTGCCCATGCGTTCGTGAAACAGAGGGTCACGCAATGTCGAGTTGTTGTAAGCAAAGCTGGTGCACTTGCAGAAACTGTCATTGAGAAACAGAAGGGGGAGTCTAGGGCGGCAAGCAATTGAGACGACGGCTGCTCAACCACGTCTGCTGCCTCTTGCCAATCCAGTAGGCACTTCCTGGTCGTGGCACGGAAAGCTGGTTTGGAGAGCAATGCCCACTGGGCGGGCAGTATCCGATTAAGCCCCAAGCCGATGGTTGGCTTTGAGAACTTTTTCTACAAATTCTTCGTACCTGAACAAACAGCAACGAAAAGACTTCGAATGTCATTGCACGTGGCAAAGAACGAACAGGACCGGCTAGCCAGATTCAGATGCAGCGGCTGCTGCAAGCTAACTCGGTCCAGTGAAGTGTTACCTGCATTTTTCTCGCGTTTCTGCAAGATTGCTCGCACCCCGTAAACTGCACCTCCTCACCCCTGAAACCCGCGAACACCTTTGAAGATTCGGCTACACCTGCCACCAGAGGAAACATCAGCTGAATTGTGAAGCATGCAGGGTTGACTTCCGTGGAAGCAGTTCCCCTGTTCGTGCAGCTCCAGACAGCCGACCAGCTGTACACCTCGATCAGTTCTGCCCTGATGTCCGCCTATGGCCTACTTCATCTCGCTCTTCTCTGGCCCGACTGGGACTTCGAAGTTCGCCTGCCCTTCAGTCGTCTTGGCCATTGGGCTCGTGTGCACTTCGGAAGCGCTTCTTCAGCTGCTGAGCGGTTTCATCTGCGTGTTGCTGCACCTTAGACTTAGCGCATTGACATGCCCTTTCCTGCTCTCCTGCAAATCACTGGAAAGGCAAGAAACCCGTTCGGGGCTATTCATCCTGAAAACAGCACCACATGCTCTCGAGCAATGAATCATTTTGGCAGAAATGAACATGCTGTGCGCCCAGGCCGATTTGCGAAAGTCATCGATCTTGATGGCAGTGCGAATGCCTGTGCCTCAGCCATTGAAAAGCATGTCTTTTAGGAACAAATTTAGAAGAGACTTCAACATGCAGTTCCCGATTGAAACAGTCACACCCTGACACTGTCTGCTGCAACTTGCAACTTCTTCTGGTAAGGCCAGCGCAGATGCTGGCAGCCTTCACATCACGCCAAGCCTGAAAAAACAGGAATGCAATTTCAGCGACTCTAAATGCAACACAAAGCATGGCTGCGGCCTCTCGGTAATCCTCGGAGCGCCACGGAACGCCGCCCGGATGCCTGCACAAAAAGCAACTCACAGATACAATCATTGTATGCCTGGGAACAGGTTTGGGCACGCTTGCTATAGGTCTCAAGGGCAAGCTTGCAGAAGTATCTGCGTCGTTCCGCTGAGGCCTCACATTCACTACTTGCAGTTCTGCTGGCATAGACTCGGCAGAGACTGTCTAGGGCCAGGCTAACATGTAAACTCTGTTTATCATTGCACTGGCTGGCTCTGCCTGCCCCGTCTCCAAGTTGGCTTGTTCAAGGCATCCTTCACCTTGCAGAGGTAAGGAAAGTCGCGAATACAGGCCATCAAACCATTGTTGGTAAAACATGCTGAGCGAAAGGCCCCGAGATCGACCGCCTTTTGACCTGATCAGCCCGCTAGCTTCAGCCGAAGTTGGATCCAGCGTTTACAGGTTCACAAGTTGAAGCTCACACATGTGACTCAACCATTCCCCAGACTGAGGTGCCAACCAACAATCCAAAGGCTAGAAAGGAGAAGCAATGCAAAGCAACCCGCACATCCTCGGAGCAACTGCTCCAACTAAGTTTCCATGATATGGCACTGATGGAGCAGCTACGGGCACTCAAGGATCCCGCCGACGAGTAGGGTATCGGCCTTTGCTTGCGCATGGTTCCGGGAGGGTTGTGAAGCTTCCGATCCAAACACGGAAGTCGCACGCTGTGACACCGCTGCACTCAGCTCAGAACCCATCGCCGCTGTTTGCGAACAATATCACCGCGTCGTTGCACCTCAGACTGCGGAAGTTCCTGTACTGAACACAGCACGTCAGTTGCAATCCGACATCTTTCGAGAATATGTGAGGTGCAACAGCTGTGGCAGCGACCACGAGCTGGAGAAGCTTGTCCTTCGAAACATGCGAGCAATACCGAGCAGCAGAAGCGATAACGTACATCAACAGCCCAATGTGCAAATCCAATGAGATGCAAGTGGGAAGTGACTAGACTCGACTAACGTAGACTGACTAGACTAGAAATTCAGCAGAGGACGATTGTGGTACTCGTAGTGCGTTTGGAATATCCAACCGTGCCTGGCTCGGCCGTGGCCTTTCAGGCTCGTGGGGCTTGGGCTCCAGGACCTCCAAAGCAGACCCAGCCCAGCTTCGGCGTGGACTCGTGGACTAGTGCCCAGGGAGCTGCCGTCACATCGGCCGCAATCTGGATCTTGGCCGCGTCTACCGTCTCCTGCCATGGGATACAACACCCTGTAACATGTTTTCAGATGAAACAAGCATGGTGCAAGGCAGCTGGGCTCGTAGCAATTCTTGCCTACTACGTCTTTCAGCTCAGCTCAGCCCGAATCCTGCCCGCCAATGAGCAGCAATCCGGCCGCGAAGCTCAGCAATCCTGCTAAGCTGAAGCAGCCCCCAGCAGGCCCAGGCAAGACCTGGCCAGCTTAGGTGGAGTCAGGCTGCTAGGCTGGTGCTCTCTGCTGCACAGCCAAGACCCTCCTGAAATCCCGGTCCCGAGCGGTGAACGGGGATACCGAGCACCTCTAGGTGGTGTGGCCAAATCGCGGCTTCGCCCCCGGTCGTCACGAACAGGACTTGCGCGATCCATGGCCTCGAGAAACGGTGGCATTCCCCAAGCATATGCAAACATGGAGACAAGCAGGCTTAAACCCTGCACAACCAATTTTGCTGCCAGCTCGCTTCATCCAGACGGAGCACCAGGTGGACAAAGCCAGAAGCATTCCGCAGGTTAGGAAGACGTGGGCAAACAGGAGGGCAAGGGACAGGCACTCCAGCAACCTCCATGCGACTCAGGGCAACTTCGCCATGATCGACATCAGCATCACACAACTACCCGACAACGCAGCTGCCGGCACCTGCGGACCTCAAGGGACGCGCATGCAATTGCAGCCAAGCATGCTGCCTCGGAGACACGAGATTTACGGCTCCAAAGCCCAGAGCTGTCTTGACTCATCTCCCAGGGCACGAAACAAGCGCATGCCCGGGGCCACAGCTGCAACCATGGACACCAGCACTGAAGCACCTCAGCTCACAATCCGAGGTGCCCAGCAGCAGCAGCAGCAGCAGCAGCAGCAGCAGTAGTAGTAGTAGTAGCAGCAGTTGTAGGAATTGTAGGAGTTGTAGGAGTTGTAGGAGTTGTAGGAGTTAGTAGATAGTAGCTAGTACTTAGTAGTTAGTAGTATGTAATAGTATTAAAACTAGTAGTCGTCGTCGTCGCCGTTGTAGTGGCAGTGGCAGCGGCAGTGGTAGTTGTAGTTGTAGTGGTAGTGGTAGTGGTAGTGGCAGTGGCAGTGGCAGCGGCAGTGGTAGTGGCAGTGGCTAGTGGTAGTGGTAGTGGCAGCGGTAGAAGCAGTAGTAGCACTAGGAGGAAGTCAGCTTTTCGAGAAAAGTGAAAGGTGCCATAGGCTAGGCTAGGCTGCATGCTGTACAACCTGTATCGGCATCAATCACTCCCATGCGTTGCTTGAAGGGCCGCCTGCCAGAGACGCTACCCGAGGACCGGTGTTTCTTGTTTCTTTTCAGCTGTAAGTCCACAGTTCGCATGTCAAGGTTTGAGGTTTGGCTTTGTATTTGTTTGTGAGATCTTAGATTATTAGGTTGTTGGCAGTGCTTCAGGTTTCAGGTGTGTGGCTTTATCTCTTCAAGTTTCGAAGGCCTTTAACCTTGCATTTGTAACGGTAGGGCGCAGCATCGATCTGAAAAAGGTGCTCAGAGCAATGGAAACCAGCCCACATTCACGACGGCACGGCCAAGGTTGAGTCTCCTGGACAAGCCCGATTGGTTTATGAAGGGCTGCAATGCTCAAGATCGTCGCCGTCGAAATAGAGTGAATTACGGCCTGGAAAGCCGCTGAGGCCTGACCCTAGAACCTTCAACCCCAACCCGCGAAAGCCTGAAGCCCGAAGTACAGACCTGAAAGCTTAATCTCCTGCACTGCTGTGTGTGCCATATGCTAAGCCAGGCCTTGCAGCTTCTGCGGCAGCGAGCCGAGCATGCCTGCCACCATTGTCGCCACGACCTTCCGGAATTAGGGTTCGCTCGTGTCCTCGAGGTTCCCTGCTATGTACTTACCAGGTATATGTATACAACTTCAATTCAAGCGCGCACACAGACATATGTACATCTATTCTTCTGTATATGTATATATCTATATGATTTTTTGTTTATATGTAAACACACAAATCTATGTGTATGTACATAAGTATGTATGTATGCATTCATGTATGTATGTATGTATGCATATACCAATGCATGCAGGGATGGATGGATGGATGGATGGATGGATGGATGGATGGATGGATGGACAAAGGGCTGGATGGACAGAGGGATGGATGGATGGATGGATGGATGGATGGATGGATGGATGGATGGGTACATACATACAAAGAAGCATACATAGATGCATGCATGCATACAAACATAAGTACACGCATACGTGCATACATGCATACATACATGCATACTTACATGCATACACACATATACATACATGCATGCATGAATGCATACATACATACATACATATATACGTACATGCATACATGTTTACATGTTACTCGTAACATGTATACATACATACATGCATACTTGCTTGCTTGCTTGATTACTTACTTCCTTGCTTACTTGCTTATACATACATACATACATACATACATACACACATACACACATACATGCATACATACACATACATACACATACATACATACACATACATATACATACATATACATACATATACATACATTCATACATCCATACATCCATACATCCATACATACATACATACATACATACTTATACATACATTCATACATACATACATACCTACATACATACATACATACATACATACATACATACAAACACACATATACATAAAGCTAGACCGATAGATAGACAGATACATGAACACATGCATACATGCATACATGCATACATACATGTAGGTAAGAAGGAAAGAATTAAATGACAATGGGTAGATAGTCTCGTTCACAGTACGTGACATATGTTCTCTAAAGCTTGAGTTCTGGAAACCTCGAGTGCCTACAAATTGCTTACCAGTGCTGGGTATCCGTAAAAAAGGGTCATGTTTTTTTCGCTGTGGACTGTTTGCAGCTGCGGAGGATGATAGTGATCACCATCATGGTCATGATCATATGATCCAGACCTTGCTACAACCGGTGCCATTACCACTTCTGCTGCGTTGTTTGTCGCTACCACCACTATACCATTTATCGGCCATCACCGATGGCGACTGCTGTGGCGGGGTTCGACTGTGGGGTTGGCTACGACAGCACTTCGCACAGTGGCCCTAACAACGATTATGATGGTGAGCATGGTCCTGTAAGATACACACCGTGGCACAAGCAACTACCGGATCCAAATGTGAAGCCCTCAAAGCACAAAATGCAGCTTCGAGGCCTGTGTTTCAAAGCACTGCTGTGAGATTCAAACCGGGAGTGCTGGCAATAGCAGCGACACCAACCCAGAAAAATCATGCGCTGGAAAGTGTCGTAACCCTCTCGCCCGGGTGGGATGCATCAGATCCATTCATCATCATCATCGCCAGGGGACCTCCGTTGACGGATGCAGCAGAGGCACCTTGGAGACTACTGCAGGAATCGATACGGTCACTTGTTTTGTTCATTGCATTTTCTGTTAGAAGTGCGCGACGGAACATCACACCTACCGAAGATGCATATGAGTGACATGCTTGACGCTGTGTGGTGTCAGTGGCATTTTTTCGTTGCATCGTGAGTTGCCTGAGTTGGGGCAAGGGCTTTGCCCAGTCCCAGATCCAATATACATGTTTATTAAATATTTGCAGACAGCGTAAGAATCCATAGATACCACACTGCTTCCGCCAACACGACAATAATCGTGGAAGATTGATGGAGCAATGCTGCACTCATCAGCGCAATTACGCCAATTCAAGTGCTAGTGGCTCACCCTTTCATGCTGCTGTAGCAAAAGCCTTCCTACGTGCATGGCGCCGACGGCTTCTGAAGCGGTAGGTTCTAGGCGATACAAATCCATGCTGTAGAGTTTCTCAACTCCATCTTGCAAAGAGGTCTCAAAACCTTGCCAAGCTTCAGTCCTGAAGCCCGCCATAGGTGCAGGGACTAGCTGGGGCCTCGAGCAGCTTCTGATTCCTGCACCAGCCACCCTAAGCTCGGCAGCATTTGGGTCTCGGGTCGCGGGGATTTGGTTTCGGTGGTCGTAACTTTATGCGCATCATGTTCAGCGTAGAAGTGCTTGGGTCTGTGTGACCTGGGTGATCTGGTATACTGTTGTACGGGAGTTGGGTGATTGTAATTCTGCGTTGGGGTTCGGAGTGGCCCTGGTGCAGCTCTGAAAGATGTTTGATTGCTCTCACTGGTGTGCAGCAATTGCGAAGGAGTTAGTCCTCTCCAACTGCCTCTTGACTCCTCAGCACTGAGTCACTACTGTCTGATAGCAGAAAACGATGACGTAGTGCAGCGAGCAATGTGATTACCCCCTTGTCATCCTGGTTTGGGAGCTGCAGAGGCATCAGCAAGGAAATGCTGTTTAACAGGCAGTCTGCGCAGCTAGGGCTCGTTGATGATGATGATGATAATGATGATGATGATGATGATGGTGTTTTCGCCGTCTTTCGTTGCACAGCATGGTGCTGTGTCTTGTTGGGACCTTGACTGGGTTGACACGTAGCTTCCTGGTTGCACGATGTTGAGGTTTCGGGAGTGCCGGCGTCCTCCAGCTTGAAGCCGTTTGCTTAGATTAGAGTCTCGTGTGTCAACTTCTGCCACCGACTTGTTTTGAGCCCCATGCACGCATCGTAGAGCGGCCGTCCGCTTGGGCCCTGATAGAGTGATACTCCTCAGGAATCAACAGTTGTATTCTCCAAGTAAGGCCGGCAGAATTTCAGGTGTACATCCCTTCCAAGCTGTTTTGTTTGTCTTTTTGTGCCTGCATAATATGCCCGACCCTCCTGCCGCATGGCATCCGCCAGCGGGCGTGTCGGGGCCCCGAACGCCTCCAGGCAGTGTTCGGTACGGAGTGCACTTCGTAGTGTAACCATGGATGCAATAGATCTTGGCCGAGGCTTTTTTGGACAGGAAGGAACGGCTTGCAGACTTGCAGTTTTGTGGTTTTTTATGGAGCGATCTTCGTCGAAAGTTGATCATGAGTGCACTCGTACACCCTAAGCCTTGCTCTCAGCCCAACCTGACTAAGCCTTGTTCCTTCTGTCGACCCGGGTTTCTAAGATGGTCCTGGATGGTTTGGTGAGGCGAGTCTTCCGTTTAAGGGAATGTCACTGCGACCGGTGACCCCATCGTTCGTGCCGTTCCCTTTGATCATGGGTCAGTCTCAAACTTCAAAGCTCTACCAAGATTTGGCTGGCTGCACCTGCAACCCAACCCCGCCACAGTGACAGTATCAGTAGACACGTCCAGTCATTGAGGTTCCATCGGGACGGACTTAGTCCAATCATTTCTTCATGCTTCATCTACATAATATCTAAGCCCATTATAGGTGGGTAGTTATAAGGTGGGTAGTCTCCCATAAGCCTCCTATACCACTCCTATAAGG